GCTGTCCAGGGAAGCAGCTGAGTCACCATCCCCGGAGGTATTTAAAGACATGTAGATGTGGCACTCAGGGACATGGTTTAGTGGTGGACTTGGCAGTGCTAGGTTTACTGTAAGACTTGATGATCTTAAAGGTCTTTCCCAACATAAATAATTCTATGATTCTATTCTATATTAAAACCCTCAATACTATTACTAGACAAAGCAATTACATAGTCTTTATTACCTTACCTCTCTCAGCTTGCTATTGAACACAAGTGTTGGCTGATAATTTGGTATTATTAAGCAAAAAAATCAGGATACCAGTGATGTCCCAACACCTTTTCCCTTCTGAAGAGGAACAGAAGTTGACCATACCTGGCATCTGGAAAGGACTTCCCGGGTCTGAGCTGGCTGGAGAATGTGGGTAGGTGCTACTGCTGCTTCCAGGCGAGTTTGGATAGCTGCTGTTGGGCGAGTGGGGAAACGGGTGACTATTGGGTTGCTGAAAAGAGTCCGGGAAAGTAGCATTGTGCGGCATGTGGGGCTCGTTTTGTCCCAGGTTGCGGAATTGGGCCAAGAGGCTGTGCTGAGGGTTGTACTCGCTGTGCCTTGGAACCAGGACTGGAGGAAGGACTGGAAATGGAGAAACATGGAAAAGCCACAACATTAGAGACTCAGTTCTGAAGGACTATACAGAGAAAAAAAAAAACACCCAACATTCATCCTCCCCTAGGGCAAATTCACATCTGTCTTAAAAACAAGGTAGGCAAATCTAGGAATGCATGTCTAAGCAAGAACTTTTTTCCTTATATCCACTTACTGCGTAGCTTGAATTCATAGCGATCGTGCTAGCTACCTGGTTTGCCAGATGGGAGCTTGTTTTCGCAGACGGCCGGGGAAGAAGAGCCAAGAACAAACCGCAATTCTGCATCTTAGTTTTATTCACACAAAGAAAAGCTGGGAAGTAGGTGCATTACAATGCTGACATGCAGTTCATTTTGCTGCACTTGTGATCCTGCTAATCACGTAATGGCCTGTAACCCAAAATCTTGCTAATAAGGACAGATTATTTTTTTTTCAGGACAATACTAATACTAATATGCCTTGAACTCAGCCTAGTCCCACAGCTGTAATTTTATTTTTAACCTGGACTATGTTCTTACAAGTTAGTATTAAAACAGTTATTAACTCTTCAAGTCAGTTTACAAAATGTGCAATTTAAATAAAATTATGTAGTTCAAAAAAACCAACTGAGCAGCAATTGAGCTCCAACTATATGCTACTAAGGGGTCAGAGAAACACACATCAGAAACTACTTGTCTCACCACACTCCCAAGGCCTCCTCACCAGAGGGAAACAAAGGTCTCTTTTTGATTGAGAATATGAACACGATACCAGATACACTAAGATAAAAGAATCAGCTCTTTTTTTTCAGTGCCTCAGCTTCTATCTTTGAACACCTCAGAGCAAAGTCCAAGCTAATCAAAGGATTAAAAGCTAGTCTTGTTATAGATTGAGATTTTTGGGTGATGGGGGGAAGAGGAGGAGCAAGGGCAGGGAGGAGATCCGTGCACAAGGAAGCGGGAGTGAAATAAAAAAGTTATTCCTTTTCACATCTGCCCTCCCTTCAGCACCTTCATTTCCCAGCTCCATGGATGAGCAGGACTGGAAGACACCCCACCTCCACCCCGGATAGCACGCCTTCAAGAGCGCTGAAAAAACCCACAAAAACCAGCAAAAGCAAGTCAGGCTACCATCCCCTCTCCCCAAGACTCCCACCCTGTTCCCAACACCTGGTGGGCACACAGAAGAAGAACAGAAGCACATATACACAACAAGCCTACGCAGACATAGCTATACCTCAGATTAAGAAAGGTGTTTCGAAGACAGCTGCTTCATCAAAAGGCTGAATTACAAACTAATTGCAAAAAAACCCACCCCCATCTTCTTGCCAGAACAAACAGCTTCTTCCAAGACACTGTGGCATCTTTACTCTTCCAGCACCTTGCTTATACAGAAGCATTCAGATAGTTATGTGAGCGATGTGCAGTCCCAGAGTACCAGAACACCACTCGATGCACAGACCAGGCCTAAGGTTTAGGTCCATTAGAGAAATTAAGCCACCAGATTTTTGCCCCCTCGTGGGATTAATGCATGAAAAGTTTGATCCCAGAAATCTTCCTTGAGCATACACTGAAAAAACTCCCCTCACTACTGAAATTAAGGCTACCCATTAGAGTCAGAAGCAGGTTTTAAAGATTTAATCTGATGTCTCACTTTAGAGCAGCTTCACTGAGATCCCAACAGATCTCAAATATTTGAGGCAGATGTCACTCCTAAGTAGATTTGTTTAGATGTGAAAATTTTAACTAACTCCACTTTACAAGGAATATGTCAAGTTCCTAATTATGGCATTTTCAAAACAAAACACAACCATCTGCCATTCTATGGAAGTTCTCAATTGCAAGACACCTGAGAAGAAGCTGCATCCCCCTCTGCTGTGCAGACTGTCCCTTGCCTCTAATGCGATCATTCTCACGTGTCACTGGAAAAAGCCATAAAATTTAAAAAAAAAGTTACATCACAAATCCCCTCAATTCACAACATGGCAAATGTCAAACCCAATCTCTCTGAATATTAGGATCTCCCAGAATTAACCTTGTTCTGTTAACCTAGCCATCTTTTTGCAATGAGGTCAAGCACTATTTAATTGTCATAGTCAATGTTTGCTGGGCTAATAAATTACCAGTGAAAAAAGTAACAATGAGATCATGTGTTAAAAAGAATTTTCCCTTTCCTGTCTTTATGATTCTTCCTTACTTTTCCGAGCATTAAAACACAGCTTTCCTATCTCTTCCATTCCTATGGATGAAGGTCAAACCATTAACTTTTCTGAAGTTAATTTGTGGAGAAAGTACATCACCTACCTTTCCCATCCCCTACCTCACATTAAACAATGACACACATGACATCACAGGAAGCCACACAATTTATAGCATTTTAAAATAGCAGGAGAACAGGATATTTTCTGTATGTTTTCTTTAATTAGAATAAAGTAGTGCCAGATTTTCCCAAGGTATATACACATGTTTTCTCCTGTTGGGCAGGTCCACTGGTGAAGTTTAGAAGGACTCCAAATAAGAACAAGTCTCCTCTTCCCAGCTCTCCCTCATGCAAACCTACACTTTTTGTCCAGCTACTTCAACTTCAAATGATTAAATGCCAACTTCTTCAAAATACACATGGAAAAGGGGGAAGGGGGAAAAAGAATACAACTTATATTGATACAGCACAAATAGCCTCAAAAATGTCATTGCAGAATTTACTTTGAGTGCTGCCCCTAATTCCTATCTTCCCCGCATACATACAACCTTAAATGAGGAGGAAAAGCCCTGAAAGGCCACGTCAGGTGGGACAGAAACTACAGTGCTCCAATGAGTCCAACTCCAAGACAGTCGCTCACTGCCATAACCTGATCTCTCTGCAGCTCACGGGCTTTTTTGCGGGCTAGCTGCTCCCACCGGAGTCACGGAGGAGTTAATCTGAATGCTGTTCACTCAGGACTGAAGACATGAGCAGGGCCCTCTGCAAGTATGGAAGGATGCCAGCAGTTCAAAACATAAAGAGGGATGCATATCCTTCTAGCTCCCCTCACCCCTGCGTCAGGCGCTGAGCTTCTGGTCAGGTTGCAGACCTCAACCATATGGAATAACAAATTACTGAGGCTCAGTACAGCAGGGGAGGAGGCTGATCTCTGTTGCAGCTGCCAGCTCCAGGAAGAGGTATAATTGAAGGGGAGAAAGCATGAGAGTTATTCTGTGCTAAGCCAGCACACCTGTTGCTATAAAATAATGAAGCAGCGCACATCTTTGCTGTGCGGATCTCCGCAGGATGCTGCTCTAACAGTTTGCAGACAGAATTTTCTCCCTTCCTCTTTACATTCTTCAGCAGAAGGGAACACAATTACATAAAACAAGATAACATGTTTAAAAACGTTATCATTATTTCTATTCAGTAGGGATGCATATATTTAAAGGAAACATACCATTAAATACACTGTTGTCTTAAAAAGCTAGTGCAACAGATTTGCAAATTCAACCTCATTAAAATGGTTAAAACCAGTTAATAGAGTAGAAACACAAGTCATCCAACAGCTGGATTTCTGTACTTTCTGAAACACCAGATTAAAAGGTTTTATGGGCTAAATTTTGCTTCAAGATTTGGTGTCGATATGGACCTGGAGCTGAGAGTTAGTACATGACTACTAGCAGTAACGCTACTAGTATTGGTTGAAGAGGAAGAAAAACCACCTAAAGCCAGGCTGGGTATGTTTGTGGAGCTGTAGCTAAGAAGAGATCCTCTATCTGTCAAGACAGCCTGGGAATTGGGTAGCCTGTTTTTACCATGCAAATAGTACCCAGAGTATGCCTGCACCAAACAAGTGGAGCTGTATTAAAGAAATTACAGCTACAGGGCAATTTCACCCACAGGGCTATTTCATTTAAGAGCCACGATTGCCAAAAATATTGAAGACAGACCAAAGACAACCTGGCTGTTCAGATAAATGTTCCACCTAACCACACCAAGAAAGAAATGCTATTATGAAAATGTAATGGTGGCCTTTGAAGAAAGCTACTGATCTCTACTCTTCGTATCTCCAGCATGTCATCCTGATCTCCAGAAAGCTAACAGGTGTGCTGTCCTAAAGATTTTCTTGGGTTTCTTTTTTGTTCTATTTTCACATTCCAGAGACAATGATTTTAGCAAACCTAGAAAGTCTAATTTATGAATAACATTGTTGGGGGTTTTTTTTAAGTTTTTCTATATAAAAACCCAAACCAAAACAAACAACCCTAATCCAAGCCAAAGGACTTGCTGTACTTTCAAAGTAGCATATTTTCTATCCAGATGGGTTTCAGTTATCTTACACAAGCCCAGATGACAGCTAGTTTCCCTCAAGGGCTCATTTTTTTCCCCCCTTTGCATGTTACATCAAGATTTGGGTAGGTATCTCTCTTTCCATGTCTGAAAATTGAAAGACCAAGTAATGAAATACAAGGGGTACATATAAGAAAGCAGACTTGGATTATCTTTCTTTGCCAAAGTAGATTCTACTTCTTCTCTGAGCTTTATAAAATTAAAAAAAAAATTTAAAAAAAAAGAAAAAAGATGAGCAATTACTGATGGACTTTCTGCTCTTAAAAATCGTGACAACTTGGTCAACATATGTTCTGTAGAAAGGTTTGTACGAGCTTATACCACAACAGGGCCCTCAGCCCTAACAAAGACCTGAGGGCACTATCATTAGACAGTGCACTTTAATTTCCAAGCATCATATAGCTGTATTTTCATATGAATTTATGCAAAACCACTTATGTTTTACTAGAAAAACAGAACTGCGGGTTGGGAAGGAGGGAAATCCTCACACACCAGTTTGTGCTATCTGGAAATGGGTATGAAAACACAGGTCGGGGGGAGGAACTTGCGGCTTATACTCCACGCTTTAGCTGGAAAATCCTGCAAAGATTAAGTTGTAAGAAAAACGAAGACTTAGGAAAAGAAAAAAAAACCAAACAAAAAAACGAACAAAAAACCCCAAAACACACCAGCAGTGTTAAACTAACAAATTTCAA